ATGGTCACTCTGTAGGTGGAGTGCGTCTTGCAAAACGGATTGCGATTGACATAGATATCAGTTATGTCGGGAACACCAGTCAGTCGCGCAACTTCTGTAGGATCAGTCAACCTGTTATCACGGAAATCGACCCGCTCCAGAGATAGCAGTCGCTCAACACCAGCCAACGATGTCAAGCGGTTGGAACGAAGGTTGAGCGTCGTGATGGCTGGCAGCGGGTTACGACCCAAAGAGTGCAAGCTGTCAATCATGCAATTGGACAGGTTCAGTGCGCGCAAACAGGTCAGGCTGGCAAGACTGTCAGGAATCTCAGCAAATAAATTGGCAGAAATATCAAGAGACTGTAATGTGTTTGCCAAGGGAGCCAGACTTGCAACTGATATGTTGGTCAGAGCATTGTCGGCCAAGCTCAGATGTCGCAAGAAGCGCCACTTGGTTGCAGGAAACCAGCCCATGGAGAGGAGGTTAGAGGAGCTGCCTCTTGGGGTGGTAGAGCGCACGCTAGAACTAGAACTCCCAGACGAGCGGCGGATGTTGGGTGCATTTGTAGTGCTTCGACCATAGGCATGGGACGAACCATGACGAGAGCTTGGGGGCCGCGTGGGAGAGGTACTGCGCTGTCGCTGGCGCGTCTTGGACGAATTCTCCGGCGCCACGACCGCGCTTCTTGGGCTTGTGCTCTGTTTACTGGCGGAGGTAGGGGAAAGTGGTGGAGATTCTGATGGCGCCAACTGACCAACCTTGGCGGACGGGCTTGCGGTAGACCAAGGCGCGGAAGAAGCGTGTGTCTTTGCCGACCGTCTACGACGCTTGTCCATGTCGTCCAAGACGACATTGATAAGAAGGTCAGCGGGATCGTCAACACCTGCTCGCTTGACAGTAAGACTGCGAAGGTTTTCGGCCAGGCGGTCCCAGCCATAGAATTGCCGAAAGTCTACATCGTGAATCTCAAGCGCAGTGACATTCTTGAAAGCGAACAAAGGGACGGCAGTGTCGAAGGGAAATTCTTCATAACCCGCAATGAGACGGGCTTTGTGGTCAGGAGACAGCCTCAGGCAGGGAATCTTAGTAAATGCAGAGTAGAGATATCGCAAGTCTTCTTGGAGTTGAACTTTCTGTTTCTCTGCCTTGGCTTCACTGTTTGATCCAATGCGAAAGGTGGACCAAAGCGAGGACATGCCTGACATGACACTGCGAACGCTCGACACTGAATGTATGGAGTCGCGGTCGGAAGACTTTGTTTTGCTGCGCTGAGCGCTGCCGAGGAACGAGACATAGTTTGCGGGTGAAGCGTCCGTGTGGATGTTCTCCAGTCGCACATTCATGGGACCAACAGGTATGCCGAGCTCCTCGAATCGAGAAAGGATGTAGAAGAGATGGTGGGGCGTCAATGTGAGCTTGGCTGGCTTGATGGACTGTGAGGTGAAGGTCAGGGACGGCAAAGACAGGGCGGCGGCCCAGACGCTTGACGACGAGGATGAGGGCGGACTAGCGGGGCCGTTGGGAGACGAGGGTGAGATAATGGCCTGGCCATTCTTGGGCATCTGCCGCTGCAGTTGCAGGGCGTTGGCGAGGGCCTTTTCGTGGGTTCGTACAAAGTAAGCCAGGTTCTAGAGCCGTGTCAACGCATGTTCCGAGCAAGGCCAGTCATTGAGAACCGCACCCTTATGAAGACGTGGCCATCCTCGGTATCCATGATGAGAAAGCCGCAGACAACGACGGCTGCATGTAGGGCGCCGGGGCTGTCGTAGCAAAACACGACGTTTACTGGGAGGGAAGGCGCGGTGCGAGGGCCGTGGAGGGAGGGGACGAGGTGCCTCCGGGGCGGTAGCGGCGACCTAGGTACTGCGCCAGTCAGCGAGGCACTGGGGACACAGAGGAGGGTAGAGTAGAGTGAGAGTCAGTCATGGTTGGGATGCTGGCGAAGAAAGTCTTGGCGGCGGGGGTTGGACTCGACCTACGGAGCGCGAGGTAGAAGCAAGGAACTGCGGACAGGCAGCACGATATGCAGCGGCGCAGGACAGAGCTGCCCAGGGCTTCCAAATCCGCAGCACACACAGCGCGGCCAGGCCAGGCGGCGAGTACTGGCGGCGAGCCAAAGACTGGCGCGGCGACTGCGGCAGCGGAGGCGCGGGACGGGCGTGTGCAACAACAGGAACCGACCAAACCAGCGCTGCTTCGCGTTGGGGACGAGCACAACGGTGCTCGACAATGGGCTTGGGTGGGGCTCGGGCAGTCGAGCGAGCACCTGGGAAATTGGATGGCTTCCCCAACACGGCTTGCCGCCTTGGAACGCCCGGTGCTGTCGAGGGGGGCGTTGAGTCTGCGGGAAGAAGCAAGCAAGAGACGACGGTGAAAGCGCCGGGGAGCGGCCTTGTTGGAGTGCAAGCTTCGAGGGTCGAGTTTGGCATCAAAAGTCAAGTCAAGAGCTGGTAGACACGTGATTGGCTCGCGCCGCGCACCCTGGAGGAATCTCGCGAGATGTGGCTGCCGTCAATCGTCCCCAACGCCGTGCGACATGCGGGATCCAGCAGTCAAGACACGGCCAGATGTGCGTGACGTCCGCGCACACATCGAGCAGGAGGCCAAGCACACCGCCCGGCCCGTTTCGTGGCATCGACGTACGCACAGAACCATTGGGTGTTTTTGGGCCTCATACCCTTCGAACACTAGGTGCCCAAGCATCCCAGCCACGGGATTCCCGCATGACTACTCTCAAGAACCTCGCGCACACGTCGCAGTGCTTGCACTATCGCATGCTCGACTGTCGGTGCAGCTAGTCCATGTCTGCTCTGCAACCCTTCGCTATTCTCCTCTAGTCACATCACGACCGTCGCAAGTCTGCCGCCGAACTGGCGCCATTGGCGGTGAGGCCTCATGAATCCCACTCGACCGTTTCGTCACCTCTCGGTGCAGCGTACCAAGCCCGTACCTCTCCGTCCCTCAAGTCGCTATTCTTTTCTCCTTCCCCGTCTAGCTCGGGATTGACATCACCTCGCATGTGTCCCCTAGACGGCCTCCACCAACACTACTGAACTGACCCACTGGGTACCCGTAGTTTGGGACAAGCTTTTGTAGATATTCCAACTCGCATGAAAATGTTATCAGATCCCTGATATGGCCCTCCAGCAATGCACGTCGTCACATGGACTTGATATCTTTCTCCCAGACTACCATGTACTCATAGCCGCAAACCAACTCTGCGATCTGTCACTCTCAGCATCCCGAGGTCATGTCAGGTAGAAACCACCGCGGCGAAGGTCGAATGAACTGCAAAAGCCAACCCCAATAATAAAAAATGGCATGGCAGATGTTTTCATCACACTCGCGGCATTTGCATCAGCACAGTTCTGACATTTAATTTCTCAAACCCCTCGTGGCATAATAGAGACGCTGGTTGTCTCTGCATCGCATGTGCTTCAATGTCGCCTGGACCGTGCGCATAACATTACCCCACCACCCCACCTCGAAACCACCTTCACAAACACGTACGCCGCAGCCTTACCAATAGCCAAACAACGCTCAGGTCAAACAAGACAAGAAACACGCAATGCTCGTTGTAGAGACACACAAAGATGTACCCACCAAGGCAGGTGGTGATATGAGTATGTTACTGCGTGCCCAGGTGTGCCGTCCATGGGTGTCACGAGAAGGTTGTTACACGGAGGCTAATTTGTATGCTCGCCGTCCAGGGGTCTTCATCTTCCACCCTACTATTGCCAACTACCCAAAGGCCAAATTTCCGGCTGTTGTTGTGTTCTCCGAGATATACCAAGGTACATATAGTCGCCTGCTTGCACGACGTCAAATCTTCTCGTCTACCTCGCTCACCACATGAACTTTATCATTCATCTTTTTACTCTTCAACAACCACCTATGTGTCCCCATCATCCATCTGCGCTACCTATTTCATCTACTAATTGAGCTTTGATAAGTCACTGGGCCTGTTGCTCGCTTTGCCCGTCAAATAGCATCCCGAGGCTATATCGTCGCAGCACCGTCCTCCTACCACGAGTTTACCGGCCCCGAGCCTCTAGCGTACGACGGTCCGGGTACAGATGCTGGGAACGAATGGAAAATCACCAAGACAGTCGAAGCATATGACGAAGATGCCACGCTTTCCATTGACGCCCTGCTTGAACTGCCAACGTGTAATGGCCGTGTTGGCGCTACCGGTACGTTGCCGCCATCTTGTATCTTGTCCTTATTCAGTCCCATCTCCATTATACCCCTTTCCCACTCAACTTCAGCGTTCCCATCAATCCAGGCTAACCGTAAACAGGCATGTGTCTAGGCGGTCATCTAGCCTATCGTTGCGCTTTCGATCTCCGCATCTCCAGTGCAATTTGCTATTTCGCAACCGATATCCACAGCTCCACGTTGGGTAAGGGCAAAAAGGATGACTCACTCGCTCGCACCAAGGACATCAAAGGAGAACTGGTCATGATCTTTGGTAAGATGGATACTCATGTCCCAGCCGAGGGTAGGGATTTGATAAGACAGACGCTTCAAGAGGCTGGAGTAACATTTTCATTCTACGAACCAGCTTGGGCACAACGTGAGTTCTGTATCGGCGCGATTATGGAAACAACACTCATACGCTATAGACGCTTTCATTCGCGACGAACTTAGTAAGGGCCGGTACGATGCTGCGTTGGCGGGGATCTGCTTTGAGATGCTCAAGGAGCTTTTCGATCGGACGCTGCGAACTGACCTCGGGCCAAGGAGTGGTGGTGACGTCGAGGTCGAAGATATTTGTTAGAATGGATCGGGCAAACGGACGTGGCACACCATGTTGTGATGTTCCTGTCAGGGTACAAATTGATGGACGACGAGCCAATAAGCCAATGCGGAAGCCGGCGACGTGCCCACCCGCGCCAAGCCCGAATGCTGCTCTAAAAAACGGCTTGAAATCGCCATGTCGATGCCTTGAATCCCCATTGCCTGCCACCACACCCGAGTCTACCTGCAACGCACAACCCACCACCAAATCGCTCAACATGCCTCGTCAACGCTCTGGGACCGCTCCTCCTCGTCGCCCGCAGGTCCCAGCCGCGAAGCAAGCAACCACTGCCCGTGCGCCCGCTCCTTCGCGCCCTCATTCTACGGCGGCAGCTCCCCCACACGCACCAGCCAGCGCTCATGCGCCTCCCCAGCAACAGGCGCAAGCTCCCACGCCGCAGGGACCCGGTCTGTTTGGGCAAATGGCCAGCACTGCTGCGTAAGTAGATCCTGAGCACCCACCTTTGCGCTACCTGTTTGCCACTACGCGGATACTCTCTGCATCCCAACCCGGCCCAATGCACCAACATGCGTTTTCGTCGCTGACCTTCGCAACAGCGGTGTCGCAGTAGGTTCCTCTATCGGCCACGCTGTCGGAGGCTGGTTCGGAGGCGGTTCATCTGCCCCCGCCGAAGCTTCGCCTCAGAACACCGAGTTCTCTGCCCAGCACCAGCCCGCCGACACCGCATCCGCCCAAATGGCGCAGTCCGGTCCTTGCGCAAACGATGTTCAGACCTTTCGCAAATGTATGGATGAGAACCAAGGTAGTCTGACTATCTGTGGTTGGTACTTGGACCAGCTCAAGGCGTGTCAAGCGGCGGCTGGCCAGTACTAGTGGAACGGACAGGGTGGCAATGTACTGGTACAGCATAGATAGCGAACATGGCATATTTCTCCATCATGGTCAATCTCTAATATAGCATCAAATGGACAACGCAATTACCTTGGCTGATTCAACATACAGTCATCCTCCCCTGCACCGGTCCCCCTCAATATCCCCCTTCATCTCCGGAAACGTGTCAAAGAATCTTTCGTCTACCGACCAATACTTCAGATCCCCGTGGTATCGCTCAAACAGAGGACTGGGGTAGTGGTTTCCACTGCTATCATCGAGGAAGAAAGCGTCTTCAATGGGAAAAGGCCAGTCGAAGCGCAGATAGCGCGAGTAACAACATGAGAGATCGGTGTTTTGGAAGATCGTGGCATGGTTATTCAAGAGGCGGGAGCGGAGGGTGGGCCAGGCGAAGAAGTCAAGGGCGATGGGGTGGGCCGTGGATGACTGTGAGAAACTGATCGTAGTGTCAGACGGACGGACGGACAGACGAAGGAGTGAACTCGGCTCGCATGGCATAAGGGAATGCATGCGGGTGGGTAGCTAGGTGAGAAGGTTACCTTGGACGGAGCCAGTCGGGTACTCTGTCTAATTCTTCTTTTCTTGCGTTCAGATAATACTACCGTACGCAGGTTAGCTTCCTGATTTGCATGCTTCATGCATGGTGAGCTGGCGTCGACGTACCTTGAGCAGTTTGAAGCTCTTATACGCCACAGCCAGCCTCTCTACATTGGGTAAATGAACAAACAGCAACTCGTCGACCTGTTTCAGAATAGTAAGCGCTGGACTTTTCTTCCATTCCAACGAGGCTAAGCTGTTCCAACCCTGCTTTATGCCAGCGTATAGAAGTCCTGCTTCTGCGATATCGACCGGCACTAGATTGTGGCAGGAAGATGAATACTTGTCAGAATTGCCTGAGTAACGACGATTGTAGGTAAAGACTTTGCCAAAGAGTTCGTTGCTCTTTTTCCAAATAGGGCAAATGGAGGATGAGGCTAGGGGGGTGGGGTTGTCTGGGTTGCCAATGTGGAGGATTGTTGGAGAGGGACAACGCCAGTTTGGGCCGAAAATCTGTAGGTAGTTCTGAGTCAGCCAGGGAAAGAAGGCGATGATTAACATACTTCTTCCATCATGGGCGCCCATGTTGCTGTAGCTGATGCATGGGCCCAGTGCTGGCCTCCTCCCTTTTCTTCTGCTGAGCTCTTGTGTACAGGCGGGAGAACGGGCTCCAAGCTAAGTGGTTGATTCGACCCCACAGGCGGCGGAAATAGATCTGGCATTACTGTCATACCATCAAGATCGAGCGAGCGCATTGTTTCAGAAGAACTATGGGTGGTGGGCTGGTCGATGGGCGCCGGCAGAGATGCAGGTGGTCTCGTCACACTGCTAGACGAGACAATGCTTGGCTTAGGCGATTGCTGCCCTAGCATCAAAAGTGAGTCAAGGGTCAGTGCTAGAGATTTATGCGTACCGGCACTCGTCGCAGCGAGAGGAGTGTCCTCATCGTCACCATCATCAGCGAGGTATGGTGGTACGATCGCCGCAGCGGTCTTGCTCGACACCCCAAGGTCCAGCCCCACCACACTCTTGACGCTATCGATGACATCCCTCAACTGCTCATTTTCCGCTCGTAGATTATCAATCTCGGAGAGCAGACTCGACGTAGCCCCGTTACGATCTTGATCGCGAAGTATCTGGATTGTTCGTTCCAATTCCGCGATGTGCGTTTTGGTCTTTTCTCGCAGTGAGCGTTGAGCTTCACGGTCAATAGCTCTTTTCCGTTCGCGACGCTCTTGTTCTCCTAGGCAGGAAGCACGTCGTTTTCGCTTGGCGACGGTTGCAACGGGTGGTTGAGTTAGGGGAGCCGCTGCATCGCTAGCTCGTCGGTTCACCATGGCAAGATATCGGGTATGATGTCAAAGCAGGGTATTCAGTTCTCTATTGGATCGTGCAGTTCAAGTTAGTAGAATGTCAACGTCTTTGAGTCAACAATCTTTCCGGACTAGATACTCCATTATAAACCGCTTTAGTAGCGCCTGCCTCGGGAGTTTCCTTTGACATCATGTCGAGCTAGCGCTACCCGAGCGCTGTCATGCGGGGAGAGGTGGGGTTATGGGGCGCATGTAGGATGCATGCGATGACTACCTCTTCCCACATACCTAGGTACTGTGCTTACTCTACCTGGCTTGGTTCAGCAGCCTCGTAAAATTTGGTGCGAAGCTATTGGCCGAGCACACCGTGTGCTAGGAAAAGCATCACCGAAGCTTGCCAACATATGCACGATGGGTAACATTCACCCACGTAGAATGAAGACTTGTTCAATTACCAGAACGAACCGATAGGTAAGAAAAACTAATTATACCAGAACAGTGCACGGGAGTTGACTATTCAAAATAGCAAGCTCCATATTGCAGTCACGTCTACAGCTTGGAAGGTCGCCAATTCGGTTTCCGCTTCTCTGCAAAAGCATTGAGCCCCTCTAGCGCATTATCCCCCGCGTTCAAGCCGTGGTTATACTGCTCAATCGTCAGTTGAGTAGCCCGCTCCACGCTCCCAGTTTCCCAAGCTTCCTTCAGCGCCGCTCGTGTGACAATTGCTGAATCGGGTGAAATGGCTGCGATTTCATTTGCCAGGTTCAACGCCTCTTCCACTACCGCGTCTTGGGATGGAGATATGCGATTGACGAGGTTAAGCTCTTTGGCTCGGTGTGCGGTAATGGATCGGCCTGTCAATGCCATCTCGGATGCGATGGGTAGGCCTACGTTGCGGACTAGACGTGGTGGGCCTCCTGCGCCGGCGAAGATGCCACGGAGAGCTTCTGGGAGACCAAAGGTTGCGTGAGGTGCCGCTACCACCATGTCGCTGTGAAGCCGCTGATTAGCAGCCTGTCTCGTTCTCAAAGTCATAGCGAAGCGCGACGTACCAGCCCAGAACAATCTCGAATCCTCCACCCAGCGCAAACCCATTGACAGCAGCGATAACCGGCTTCTTTCCCATCCTTCTGCTCAGCCCCCCAAACCCACTCACAGGGTGTCGCATCATACCAGGACTTGCTTTCAGCTCCCCGCTCCTTATCTTTCCGAGTTGAATGAGATCTTGCCCGGCGCAAAAGCTCTTCTTGCCTGCTCCTGTGACAATGGCAACGCGGAGGTTGGGCTCGTGGTCGAACCAATCGAATACTTGGCCCATTTCAAGGTGTCCTTCGAACGGTATGGAGTTCATTTGTCTTTCGCGGTTGATTGTAACGAGGAGGACATAGTCGGCTGGATAAGAGAGGACGACGTGGGAGGTGGGAGGTGGCGTTGTTTGGCAGTTGACGGATGTCATGTTGGGCAGGGCCGGGCAGGACGGACGAGACGGTCACTATCTAGGTATGAACCGTTTGTGTGAGGCCACATTTGCGACTGCTTTCGCTAGAAGTATTCAAAGGTATAGACAGCCCAAGTTTCTGAGAGAAGCTACCTAATTGCCGATAGAACGAAGATGGGTAAGCCTGCGAGTGCTGGAGCCGAGGTGTCTTCCCCGCACGACGCTAATTCGGTAATGTTTGGCTCGTCTGTCACCAGTGTGCCCATGTCGCTCGGTTCAGTGCCTCGACAATTGTGCCAACAGCTTCAAATCACATTGCGATTGATACCTCTTCTACCATCTCCTTTTTCGCCAGCGGCAGGGTCGTTTTCAAGACGCTGTCAGCATCCACACGTAAGCACGCGCGACGTGCCTAGGTTTGCTACTGAAAGTTGTCGCTGATTCGATGGCATAGAGATTGTCATTGCAGGAGGACCGATATTGCGGATACGATATATATTAGGCTGAAAATAACCTGGTGGTCGGAGGATGCTAGTGTATGACAATTAGGTCAGTTCTCTAGTTATTGCCAGCACTTTTTTAGAACCCCTTGCATGCAGATAGTAGGGTCTAGTTTTATTACCTTGTCTGCAGCGAGATTGTCCGCGTTATAGGTAGGCTCTAAGCGTCTAGCGGTCTAAGGCTTGCAGAAGTTAAAGCGTCTAGCATTTAAGGCAGCAAACATTACTACTTAAGTAGCGTAGCGTAGCTGTGCAAGCAACAACAATTAACCTTTATCTTTATTATTCTGCACTTAAGTCTTCTCTACATTATTATTGTATCTTTCATCTCAGAAACCAACCATGGCTCCAAGTCGTAAAACGAGCAGGAAGCCACGCGCCAAGCAACCGCGTCGGACTGTTGCCTCAACGCGTTCCCCGACAGCTCCCCCTCTTATACGTGTCCAACGTAAACTCGGCGACAAGACACCCCGAACGCGAAAACGCTATCTCGCCAAGGTTCTGAAGTCCATCCGTTCCTCGATGCCTCCTACGCCTGACGTACGTAGAGATCCAATCCCTGATATCAGAGCCCAACTCGACAAGCTCCGCAAAGACAACGAAATGATCTATCACGACCTTGCCGCCACATCCTCCGGAGTCAAATCGAAAGTGCACCCCGACCGAGAGTATGTCATGCGCCAGTCAAACCCCAAGACGCTCCTGAACCACCTCTCTGCCGGCCGAATTGCCGTTGGTCACAACGGATGCTGGATACCGAAGGAGGCTTCAACCCCCGCAGACCCATTCGGGGAGCGACACAGATATGGGCAGGTCAGCATCACAGCAGGTGGTATGACCCGGAGATTCCAATTCAATCTCCTCGTCTTGAAGGTCATTGGATTTGAGGATTTGATGTGGAACAAGGACGTGCAGGCGTCCCACTTGTGTGGGCACAGTTCGTGCGACAATCCCTTGCACTTCGTGTGCGAGTTGCGTTGCTTCAACATGCAACGGATATTGTGTCCGGGTAGCTGCCAATCAGACGCTGGCGATTACATTTGCGATCATGGCCCAGAAGGCTTGCAATGCTTCGGGCATTTGAACTGCCCAAGTACCTGCGAAGTCGGCCGAGTTATGCAGGAGAAATTGTACAAGGTTTTCGACGACGAACAGCGCCGCCTGGCGACGGAAAGAGCGAAGACGGCGAGGAAGAGAGCAGAGAAGCGTATCGCTGAGGAGGCAGAAGAGCAACTCAAAGCCGAGCGCAAAGAGGAGGACGACCGAGTCAAGGCGGCAGCGAAGGCGGCACTGTATGCAGCCAGGGATGCTCAAAAACAGAAGGACAAGCCAGCCAGGAATGCGCAACAAAAGACGAACAAGCGAACCAAGGTGGCGAAGAAGGGGGCGGACAAGGTAGCCGTGAAGAACAGGTAGACACGATAAGTGGTAACACATGAGCGCCGGTGTGTGATGGAATTTGAGAGAATGACGAGCGCACCTTGATACAATATCGAACTGCATCGATTGATGCAGACGCAATCAGACAGGTAGCCTTAGTTCACGTAGAATCAAGAAAATTGGAGTGTACTTTGGTTGTTGGAATCGAACATTGCTGTGCGTTACATTGAAGCTTTGCACTGTCTCTTATCATGTGTGCGTTCTTCCCCGCACGTCACGACCGTGAGCCTTGGGTGGTGGGCTAAGCAGCTAACCTAATGGGTTACATCAGTACCTAGGTACCGTGGTTGTTAGCAGAGCATGTACGAATGGGGCAGGAGTGAACATTGGATCGTTTTATTATTTGTCGCGTGCTCAACAACCGCCACAGGCTATCACATTGACCTGAAGGCGCTACCACGCTGCTGCGCGGTAAACCATGCAGACCCGGCAGATCTGTTGCACGCTTCATTGGTATGCATATCGTGACATTTTTACTCAGTCGTACATGCTGTAGTAGAGCTCTGAGGTGACGTGCATAAAGCGGCTAGGATAGAGGCCGGTTCGTCACTTTCGGCCTGGCCCATTTACTTCATACTTCTTCAATTCTCCATGCGCTGATAGAACAGGATGTAGGCCACCTTGTTGTCGCGCACATTCTCGCTGGGCAGTGGCGTCCTCTTGCCCGGTGAGATGGGGGTTGTCGTGCCATTGACAGCACCAGTCCATTTCTTGATGCTATCCTTTTGCTTCTCGGCTCCACTGACTTGGTTCCAGCCTCCTTTGTCCGTCCCTTGCTCATCCAGGTCAATCCGGGCAAAGTAGTTCTTGCTCATCCCCATATCGCTCTGGTGTTGCTCGAGTCCGGCCGCGAGGACCTTGGGATCCTCTTCAGCGCCGCCTTCAGCGACATCCTCGGCGCGGATGCGGCGGATGATGGTATCGTCCATTCGGATCCATTCCTTGCCCTCCTGGCGCCGGAGGTCGACGGTGTAGTGGCCACCACTTGCGTTCTTACCGTGGTGGTACACGACCCCAATGAGGCGATAACGCGGGAAGCATCCTTGGATGTGGTAGCTGCTTCGTTTATGCGGGGGAAAAACCTCTTTCGGTAGCTCCAACTCCAAGGGGTACCCAATCTTCTTCCAAATCTTTTGTGGTCCCTTTTCGTCGTAGTGAAAACGCTTCAGGTGAAGAATGAGGACTGGTGGGAGGGTCTCAATATGCACTTGTTTGGTGGAAGCTTTGGAACCCCGAGCCGCACCATCCAACGTCTCGAGACGCGTAAGATTCTTGAGAGCATCAGAGATGTTGTTAGTGTTGGGCTCACCGATATCGAGCTGGAGGGGTTGGTACGGCTCAAGTGTGACCGAGGCCTTCTCGCCTGGCCTCTTGTATTCCGACCGCAGCTTGCCACCGAAGATCTTGGTGATGGGACTTTCAACATCAATCGCCCCAGAATTTTGTGTAATAGAAGTTTTTTGCTTGTGCCCAACCTCTTCCCAACCACCATCAATGGAGCCTGATCGTGCGGTCCCGGGGGATGCGACGGCGTCTGCGGACTGGCTCTGCTTGCCACTCTTGATGATGTGGACGCACTCGTCGTGCAGTCCAGCAAGCAAGAAGCCCAGAAACTCCTCGGCGTCTTCTTGCTGACCCCTCTTCATATTGTCGAATCGAGGTAGACGCTTTATGACGTCGTATACGTACTCTGGTGTGAGCGGGTCGCCGTACTGCTCGAGCTCGTTGCCTTTTAGCCGAAGACGGAGTTGGTCGACGGTGTCGGCAGAGTCGATGAGTCGGAAGTCGCGCAGGAACATGATCATGGCATCCACGAGAGGAGTTTCGGACTTGAAGCTGTGCGCAGCGCGCTTTGCCACCTGATCAAGGAAGTCGTAAAAGGGAACGCAGAACAGTAGTACTTGGAGAATCTGCAAGACAAGTCAGCGTGGCACAGAGTAGAGTAGCGGGTTAGGTCGCACCGAGTTCATGTAGCACAAGTTGCCCGTGTTTACAAGCCCTCGAGGCTCGATAAAGGAAGCCTTTGTCTCGGCGTCAACTGAGAAAGACGCCAGAACGTGTGCAAGCGTGGTGTTGCTAGGTACTACAGGGCCGTTGGAAATAGCCAAGGTATTGTTGGGAGAGGGAGCTGGCTGCGCGACGGCGGGAGTGTTCTTTGCCCTCAACAGCTCTGCCCAGGATTTTGGTGCTGCCGGCCGAGGCGGAGATGCCTTTGGAGTCTCTTCGGAGTTTGGGCCTGTGTGGGGTGTTGTTGCTGTAGTGTCTCCATTCTGGGTGTGTTCCTGATGAGTGCCGGCGGGCGATTTAACCGACTGTTGCGTCATCGAAGGTGCACTGGGAGCCTGTATTGGTTTGACAGGAACGCGGGGCACGGCTGGGATCGTGGGGTTGCGGGCGTGTTGCTTGACAGTGGCTGAAGGCTGGGCTGGCGATTGTACGGGCAATGGTGTTGCAGCAGACGGCGGGGCAGATTGCGCCAGATCGACTTCCGAAGGCGGGTGTGAGGTGGACGGAGTATCGACATCAGCGTCAGAGGGTGCCGGTATGGTAGAAGCCTGCGAGTCGTCGGGCTCCTCGGACGGGGTCAGCTGGCCGTGGGTGCCTTGGTCGAGGTACGTGGCGTCACGCGAGGGTAGGGCCAGAGCCTGGTCCTCGATGTGAACGGGAGCCCTGCGCCTTCGCCGGCGGGGTGTCGCGCGTGGCGGGAAGACGGAGTCGGGGGCGGACAGCCAGGGCAGAGGCGGGTAGAAAGGCCTGAATGTGACGGAATGGGGCGAGGGCGGCGGGGCGTCGACAGTCATGGCAGCGGGCGAGTGCGGCGCCGGCGTGGGCATGCGCGGGGGAAGCGTGTGCAGCTGCGAAGAGACGACGACGGGCGAGGCATGGGGTTGAGGCTGGAACGGGCGCGGAGGCATGGCGTACTGGAGCGGCGGCTGCTGGTAAGAGTACCACGGCGGCGGCTGCTGGGCATAGGCGTGGAGAGGGCCATGGTGCGGTGCCTGCTGGTGGTGCTGGTGGTGCTGGTGGTGATGTTGCTGGTGGTGGTGTTGCTGGTGGTGGTAGGGCGCGGCATAGGGATTGTGGTGGACGGGCGAGTGTGTCTGGGGCGGCATCGCGTGGTGGTAGTACTGCTGCTCGTGCCTTCTGCTGCCAGGCAGGTACGGGCCGGGCATCGTGGGCGCTGGAGGCCGTGTTGCCTCGACCGTGGGCGCTGGCGGGAGCCGTCGCAGCCAGCGTGCGCGGCAACGGGTCGAGGGGAGTGTCTAGTGGGACTGCGGGGTCATGGTATCAGGACGACTAGAGGTCGGGGTGGATTGCTGTTGGGGTCGGAATCGATGAGGTTGTACAAGAAGCCGCGCCAACGTGATCCGAAAGGGCAATCGCAGCCGTCTGTGCGGAGACGCTGTCGTCAGAGCACCATCGCCACTCGGTCTTGCGACTCTCGTCGTCTCCAAGCCACCTCTTGGGGACGCCAACCCTCGCAGCTACATACCACCGCACTCGCATTATTCGCCCTTGTCCTGCTCGTGAACCCTTAGCTGGGCGTCATGTCCAGCAATCCGCCCACCGCCGCCGCCTCGTCCAAGGCCTCCGCTCCCTCGGGGCCCGCTTCACCCGCCCAGACGCAGACGCCCTCCGCCAGCACCAGCAGCTTCTCCACGCAGCCGCGGGGTAGTGGCGCGCCCGCGCGGTCATTGCCGACTCCCCGCAACTCGCAGCAGCAGAAGAAACAGCACAAGGCGTCGAAGCGCTTCAGGCAGACGGACGAGGATGCCATTGCCGAGTCTCTCGCCATGCGTCCCTTCCAGAACCGCAAGGGCCAGACGTCCATTACCCACCTCATGAACTTCAGCTTGCCGCCCCGCCCAACCAACCATGCCGCCCATGGCCACGCAAGGAGCTATCGGCGCAACCCGACGTGGGGCCTTGGCTCGGGCTACCACGCCGTAGACAAGGCAAGGTGAGAGTCCCAGCCGGAGCAGCACCGTGTCGACCATTCCGCTAACACCATGCAGATACGTGCACGCCAACTACCGCTTCATCGTAGACCCCCGCGGCGACTACCGCGCCCAAAGTGTCGATGCCGATGTCCACCTCGATTGGAACAACGTCCTGCAGATACTGGCTTCCGAGATTTCGCAAGATGCCTCGTGTCCCATCTGCCTTGGCACACCCCTAGCCCCCAGGATGGCGAGGTGTGGCCACATCTTCTGTCTCCCATGTCTCATCCGCTACATGCATTCCGAAGACGACGCCAAGGCCCGAGACAAGCGGGCGCGTTCGAGCAAATGCCCGCTGTGCTTCGACACCATATACGCCTCTGAAACGAGGCCAGTGCGCTGGTACACAGGCCAGGAGGGCGAGCCTCCCCGCGAGGGAGGCGATGTAGTTCTCCGCTTGGCTGTCAGATCCGCGGGAAGCACCCTGGCTATGCCCCGCGATGGCGCCTACGCTATGACCAAAGACGAAGATATCCCCTGGTATCATGCCGCCGAGGTGACCGACTATGCCCGCATAATGCGCGGCGGTGAGGACTACATGCTGGACCAACATGATCAAGAGATTGTGAAGCTGGAGCACCAAGGCAAAGAGGATGAAGTCATGTTTGCCGAAGACAGCATGGAATGGACCAACAAGGCGATACGGAATATCCGAGAGGCCAAGGAGAAACTTAGAGGAATCGGAAACCCCCCAGACGAGGCCTGCAAGCCCGCGGAACCCAAGATGAAGAGAGCGCCCATGGTATTCAACGAGACGACGGCGCCAGACATGAACACTGTACAGGACCATTCCCAGGTCGGGACTGCTTATGGCAAGGACAGGGCCATGTCTGTCTCTTCGCACTCTTCAGCAGCAAGCCACGGCATGTCTCTGACGCTTGCAGAGCTTCGCAATCGACAGCACCACGAGCACCACCAGACGCCCGCGGAATATTTCTTCTACCAAGCACTATTGCATTACTACTTATCTCCGTTAGACATCCGCATTTTGAAAGCGGCTTTCGGAAATTTCGCCTCGTTCCCCTCAACGATCCTTCCCCGTGTCGAGCACGTATCTACGGGACACGTAGTCGATGACGAATTGCGCAAGCGCACAAAATACCTGGCGCATCTACCACACGGCTGTGAGGTTGCTTTCCTTGAATGTGATTGGACCGATACTGTTGCCCCAGAAGTCCTGGACCGCTTCCGACCCGATATTGAGAGGAGGCGAAAGAGGCATGTTGAGAAAGAGAGCAAAGAAGAGAAGGCACGACAGCGTGCGGAAAAGGCCGAGTACGCCGAGTTTGCATCTGCGCGCAGAAGGCGTCCAAGCATGACGGAGAGATTCTCCGCCGACGACTTCCAGCCTCTAGCATCAGGCAGCATGCCGGACGCGCAGCCCGTCATGGATGGAGACAACTCTTCGACGTCGCCACCCTGGCCACGGCGGCGTGGCGATGGCTTCGCTCCGCTGGCTTCTCCTTCGTCAAGCCCGTCAGCGCCACGGACCGTATGGGGTACGGCGATAGTGGCAGGCGCGTCTCCAGTGTTTGGGCCGCAGGATCATCATGATGGCGACGATGGATGGCTGCAGGGCTGGGAGAAGGATTTGCTTGCCGAGGAGGACATGCTTGCCCGAGCGCAAGCCATGTCTTTAGAAGGAGGCGAGGAAGGTGCGAAGAAGCCGGCCGGCGGAAAGAAGAAGAAGGGCAAAAAGATCACGTTGATGAGTACGAATGTGCGGAGGGGAGCGTAGTTAGTATCGTTAGCATCACCGAGTCGCTTGGCGCGAAAGGGAGCAATGAAGATGTCAAGATAGGCTCAAGACTAGGCCGCCACTCATCGTCAGCCATGCAAGTGCTGTGCCCACCGCCTCGCGTCGCCTGCCCTAGGTCAAACAAGCGCCGCACCCAGCTGTGCCACCCATCTGAATCGGCGGTCTCGAGTCGCCCGTCTGCGCGACGCTCCCGGCGTGTCCACGGCCCCGCGCTTGACTACCAGGCCCGGGTCCAGCACGACCGCGACCATGCATGCCGCCCTGGTAGCTGCCTCGTGCCGGTGCCGTGACGGGAGGACGATGCGTCGAGTTGTCGATGCCTGGTGCGCGGTAGGGGGAGCCTCGTGCGGCGGCCCACGTATCGAGGGAGAAGAGCGTAGTGAGGTAGAGGGCGAGGAAGGCCAAGAGCGTGCCGGTGGGCGTCGCAGGCGACGCCGTGGGCCTGGACGGGGTTGTCAGTTTTGTCTGCGAGCAAGGAAGGGGGCGGTGGCTAGGCATACCTGTGCGCGTCCATATTGTGAGGCGCTTGTACCACTGTCATGGTGGGAAAGAGACATCGCAGTTAAGTCCGCAAGCCGCGGTGCGACAGGGGTGGGCGCGCCAAGACAGGCCGAAAAGTTGCAACCTTCAAGTAGCAACATGCTACCTACCGACCGGTTCACATTTTCCCGCGACCGCACCCGCTACCCGAGAGCACGTTGCGCCATCTTTGTCCACGACATCGTGACTTCGAAGGGCTCCAGCTCAAGTCCAAGACTGACCATGGCCGTGCATAAGCCTCCACATGATAACGTCAGTCCTGCCAAGAAACGCAAACGCGACACCCAAGAGCAACAAATAGACGACGTTGATACTTCTAAACCTACCGCTCTTTTCGCACCAACCAAAGGTCGCGACTGGACCGTCACCATCGCTTTGCCCGGAAGCTGGACTCTCAATGCCAAGAAGCCCGATCACAAGACTATCCAAGTCGGACGAATCGCACGCGCAGCTGCCATCTACTGTGTCGATGAAATCGTCGTATTCGATGAAGATCCTACCAATGTCGATCCCAGAGTCGTTGATCCAAGATACATCCGCAGAGGACGGTCCAAGCAACAAGTCCTCGACTCTATCCTGGAGCACGATGAGGCATGGCAGAGCCCAGACCAGTTCCTTTGCCATTTATTGTCTTATGCCGAATGCCCACCTCATCTACGATACGACGCCGAGGATCCCCGATTGAGCATCTTCAAGGAACATCAGAATCTCAAATGGGTTGGTAATCTCCCAAGTATGGATATGCCGCACCATCTTCGAAGCCACGAGTGGTGTCGGTACCGCGAGGGTGTCTTTGTCGGCCCAGCCCATTTGCCCGCATCATTGATACCCAAGAACAACAGCTCAGGGACATCTCTGTCTCATGACTCAGAGTATGCATACGTCAAATGCGGTCTGCCGCATCCCATCCGCGTCCCTGTCCCCAAAGAAGCCCCTCCTGAGCAAGGCATGCGCACAACCGTTCGCTTCACCAACGCCGATGCACCTCCCAACTGGCCCCACCTATCTCAGCAGGAATGTAATCTACTAAATGCTACGGCATGCGCGGCCAGTCTTCCACGTGAGGAAGGCGGCTACTACTGGGGTTACACGGTCCGACGCGCTCCATCACTCAGCGCCGTCTTCTCCGATTGCGAATACCCAGATGGCTATGACATGTCTATAGGAACATCGGAACGCGGCCAGTCCGTCTATTCACTATTTACTGACACCAGCAATGAGTCTGCTACGTTTGCAGCCAAAGCCAAAGCTCACAAACCCTTTAAACACCTCCTTATTGTGTTCGGAGGCCAGGCCGGCATAGAACCGGCTATTGCCAACGACCCGGTTCTCGCGGCAAGAGGATTGGGCAAATCGATGGCTAGCGAGCTTTTTGATGCTTGGGTTAATTTGGTTCCGGGACAGGGCAGCAGGACAATTAGAACAGAGGAGGCTGTTGTCATCGGCCTTGCGGCGCTGAAGCCTTGGATGGACAGAACGATGCAGGTATAGAGGCATGATCAACCAGGCTCTCGGCCTAGTGCTGGGTGTTTGACATGCGATTGCCTCATGCTCGATGGGTCTCACAACAAACGCTCTCCTCTACAAAACAGCACTTGAACATTATTAGCTGTACTGGATCTATGAAGCCGTCTTGATCCTCCATGCATCCTCGATTCCGACACGCAGTCAAGTCAGTATGTGCTGTCCAGCCTCATAGTGTACCCTCGCCCAAGCATCTCTTGAGAGGAAACTCGTCGCCTGTACAAAGACTGATAACACCATCAACCCATTCCATATTGTCAAACTGCTTTGACTCGAACGAGTCAGCCTGGTAGTCGGATAGCTCTCCATAACCACCGATGGTACCCGTCCAGACACTTCCACTCGCACGGTTGGTCCAAGGGTTACTGACAAAAGCGCCATACTTGTCCTTGGGGACCTCGGCGGTGAAGGTTTGCGTCTGAGTCGTTTGCCACGTCTGGCTGTAGTCGATTGACATGGAGACTTGGAGGAAGTCCTTGACTAGTGTCAAAGTGCTGCTCGCCCCAACCGAAATGCTGTTACTAATGGAGAAACCCGAGGCGACGGAGATAGTAGTCGGTGCGCCCTTGGTGACTTGGCTCATTTGAACATCCCAGCCCAAGAAACGAGAGTTGGGGTTTGGAATGATAATGCTGGTGTCGCGTTTCAAGTGCTGCTTGTCTGGTGTTTTGGTCTCGTTGCCGGAGAAGTGAATCTCAGCAAGGTAGGCAGGCTTCGGAGGTACAGCACTGGCCTTGCGTGCAGCTTCCAGCTCTTCAAAGGCAGATCGTTTCATAACGGTGAAGTGGCCTTTGCCGTGGAGGATAACGTCATCCAGTCCGATTTTGACGGGTGCGGGAGCAGCCGCGACGAGAGCGGCGCCAAAAATGAGGGTGATGAAGGAAGTGGAGTGCATTATAGCGAGTACATATATGAGGTGAAACGAATGTGTAGAACTTTACGAAAAGAGTGACAGGGCAGGTAAGGTGGTGAGAAGAATTCATGATCAGGGAGGCGTGCTCTACTTATCGTCAAGAAATGCGAGCAAGTTAGCACCGCATTGGCAGCGTCGGCTGTATGACTGATCGTAACATGGGTTCTGAGACGCAATTTTAACATTCCAGCTATCTTGGTAAACAGGTACGTCAATACATTTCTTGGCAGGGATTTATGAAGGATCAATAGTGGTGGAGTATACGAACCTAGGTAACGTGTTCAGGTGCGCGGCTGATTGGTTTCATGGTTGTCCGGTGATTTGCTGTCTCGAAGTACGAATAGTTCTTCCATGCCTACCCAAAGGCTCGCCGTAGGATTACTTATTCTGAGTGGGTCTCGCTAGGCGCAACATGAGTCGAGTGGCTCCTCGAGTATCACTGTAACAAAAGCACGCCCGCATCGTTCTTTCGGGCCGAAGCGCATGAAGTGCAAACCCTTTCCGGGTTCTCGGCATCTACCCTTAATAATACAAGGCATAGAATTCCCGACTTCTAATAGGACACCGCTCTAATAGTGCACTCGGTTCACCTGCCGAGGGAATGTGGGATTGGGGCATTGCTGTGCGGTCCCTCGATACCGCGGTGGCTCAACCACGTTTCAAAACCTTGGAAGAAGGGGCGCGCTCGCCACAATTGCGCCGAGAATGGACAAAGGACAATTGTAGTGATGGCCATGAAAGCATGAACGAGGATCCGTTCTATCATCAGTTCTTACTTATTTATCTTGTTTCCACATCCGGTTCTGAGCAGTACCCAACTTCCGCTCTTTAATCCTTTGGTGCACCTGGCTTTTACAGTCAATTCTGTCGTTACCTTCGCTCTGTCTGAGCTATTTCGAAACCTGAAGCCGTCATGCATTTCTCAGTCGTCCTCTCCGCACTTCCCATCCTCGTGGGCTCCTTCGTCAACGCCGACCTCCACAGGGAAGGTCTTTGTGTCGATGAAGTCGGCGGACAATACGTGTACAACGCCGACGCAACAACAAAGGCATGCGACGCATATCTGAATCGCAACACTGGCGACCAGCAATGGGATACATGTGCCGATTGCAAGATGGTGAGACATACAAGAATCCCTCCATGAACCCTTCGCATGCTAACATTGTGCAGACCGAAGTCGGCAAGCTCAACCTTTGTCAATCGCTAGGGAATCACATCGGTGGTGATGAGTTGAACTATTACTGCAAGGAGAATGGCGCTGGCAATTCATTAGCCTCATAAGCTGCGGACAAGGAAGAATAGCTTTCGTGAACAGCAGTGACTTTGCTGTCGTCGTGTTGCGTCAGAGGTCGATGTATACCGTCCTGCAAAGTTTTACCAACCACGATTAATTTAATTCGATAACAAAAGGCTTATGACACGGACGTACCATTTTGCATGGGCTCATATGCTCATCTCCATCGTAGCGTTATGTTTCAAATGTCCCAGCTTACCTGCAATGACTACAAACTAAAGTGCGAATTGCTAAACATCTAGTCCGCTGGTGTTCTATAACGCAATGTTACAGCAGCTACAGTGACCGATAGGAAAACGCTTCGGTGATGAAAAGCGATGAGACAGCAACTATTGCCTTGGAACGAGCTCACTAAATTCACTAACCGTAGCGAGAAAGATGAACGGAAATCGGATCTATCAGTTGTCTAGATCATGGACTTAGACGCGATTTTGACGACACTGAAGTTCCAGCGCGGAAAATGTACACGGATGCTTTTGCTGTTACAGATAGTGACCTCGTCAATTGTAAGACCAACGAGATTCCCAACAGTCTTTCCCATATGTCCGTAATCGGAAGGAAATATCTCGACCTCGTCGCCGTATTTGAGCTTATGTGAATTGTCATCGATGAATGTGACGTTTTCTGGTGAGGTAGAAGTGCCAAGAGTTCGTTGTGCCATAGTATTTCCATCCAGCGTTTTGAGCATTGGCATTCTCTTCCTTTTCTTTTCCAGTTGTGCCACAAATCTCTCTACCCACGAAAATACTCTCGGATACGTCTCAGCGTTGAAGTAACGCGCGGGAAGACTGTCCTTCATAGTGGGCTCCGACATCAACCACTTGAACGGCCACACACAATCAATATCTGCTAGCGAGGGTTCTTGTGTGTTCAAAATCCACGCCCTGCCATCGGCAAGGAAAGTAGACTCCAACATGTCAAAAGCGAGCTGCAAATGCTGCGTGCCATCGGGCCGCCCCATCTCCATATCATCGGCGGTGAAGCGCCTTCCCATGAGCTTCTGACGATCATCTACAAAGGCTTCATTCGATAGGAAGCTTGTCTCCTGCCAGTATGGTATCATCCTCACGGCGTTGGCGAAGATGCCGCCGTCGATTGTCCAGTTTTCGAAGAGCTTTCTGATACCAACATCCATTGGCGTGGAAGGTGAGAGAGCGCTGTTGGGGTACAGAGACTCTAGCTTGGAGATGATGAATCGAGAATCGCAGTATATGTCCTTTCCGATGATCACGACGGGTATCTTTCTGTAGCCGACGCCCAGCAGTTCAAGGTCTTCACGCGGCATGAATGCCGGCTGGATCTAGATGACTTCTTAGCTGACGCAACTGAAAGAGACGGAAATGATGTACACATTCATCATAGGGTATACCGCGAAGCCATAGATACCATAATACCCGGTGCGAGAAGATGGAGCCTTCGTAATGGAGCACGATTGGCTTGTCGAGAGAGACCATGGTTGTTGAATGGTATTTGTTCGAACAGCGTGGAATGTTGTTGCAGACGCGTAGTGACGTGGAATATATCTTGAACAACGGTAGGGCGGAACGTCTTTCCATTACCCCACCCCATGACGTGAGGCGCGGCGCATCTCCGTAGCTATCGAGCAACGGGAATCTTTGAATGCCACGGGATGTACAAGCGAGCGTCTGGCCGTGATCGTTGCAGTATTAGCGTCATGACGACGGTCGAGCAAGCTGCCGTACAATACCAATCTCGCATTGGGGAGGTGCTGCGATACAGGCTAGTTGGCATGCTTTTCGAATGGCCCATCGCAAATGATACCGACACCTCCAAAGCGACAAAGCATCAATCTTTCGACGTGCCACCTGGGATTATGCTCCGTTGTTCTGTGTGCTGCCACCATTGTTATCCCACGCCAAGCGTTACCGACCTGCGCGCACGCCCGGGTGCTGCAAGCACTGCAAGGGTGGCTTAAAGCAACCCCGCATCCCCCACACCACTCCGGAAGAGACATTATCCTGCACGCATCGAAACGCGCTGCGGCCGGCGATAGATGCGTGTCCGATAGAACGTTAGTCGAGTACGGCGACGACGCGCCTGCACACGTCAGTTCCGCTGGGTCGACTCGTCTTCGCAGCTTGACTTTTGTCTTGCCTTTTCCGCCACGACTTGAACCAACGCCAGCTATGCCACACAAGCTCGACATCTTAGTCGTGGGCGCTGGGCTCTCTGGACTCGCCGCAGCGATACAATGTGCCTTGTCAGGACACTCGGTGACGGTATTGGAGGGCGCAAGGGAGCTGGCTGAAGTATGTGCTCACGTCTACGACACCAGATGGTTGCAATCGGTGTCTATACTAACCAGCATTCCAGATAGGCGCAGGCCTTCAACTTACACCTAATGCTACACGTCTCCTTCTGAACTGGTCTGTTTACGACACTATCCGCGATCGTGTCTGCGAGCCCATCGCACTGACTGTCCACAACTATCGCGGCAAGATACTTGCGCACGAGGCAGAGTTCGATGCGAACATCCGCCGCAAGTACGAAGCGCCATTCTCCGACTGCCATCGCGTAGATCTGCAGCAGGCCATGGTCAAGCGAGCGCAAGAACTGGGCGTGATCGTAGTACTGAACGCAAAAGTAACGACTATAAATCCGGGCTCGTTCACCGGCGATAGGGCGCGCGTGACAACCTCGGAGGGCTAGAACTAGGGCGCCGATCTTATAGTCACTCTTCCAGGACGGAACGAACCCCTAACCACCTACAGGAGATCTGGCATATCGCATCGTGCTTCAACTTGATCAGGCCAGCGGATTGAGGCGGAGAAAAATAGTGCGATGACCCGCATATTAGTCCTAGGCGGGCCCTTACGCACACGCTATAGCATACAGCATGCGCAGCAGTAACATATATAACCTAGTCTCGCTTCTTTCTAATAATCTACAAGAGAGTGTCGCGAAGACTAAGAGCAACTTAGACGAGACAAGAAATTTAATTTATAGATAGGACCTAGTGTAAGTTACTCTACTCGTCGCATATTGCGACTAGAACGCATACTTACTATTAACATAGATTAGCTTAGCTACTTAGGTGTGTAGAAAAGGTTTACAAGTAGAAATTAATACATTAAGTAGAAATAAGCTTCTAAGTTAATACGCAGTATAATCTTACGCTTATTAGAGACTTCTACTACTAATGCTTTTTTATTACGCTAAGAGCGTAAACTTTTCTATTAAAGATAGCGCTATTCTAAAGCTCTTACTAGCGCTAGAGCACTTTAATTCTTAAAATAGACTAGTAGGTACACTATAGTTATCTATAAAAAGCTATTCTACTATATAAAGTAAGTTTATAAAGTAATTATATTATAAAGACTCTATTAAACTCTACGTATTCTAGCTTTACTTTACGTATATATAATATTTTACTACTAATCTAAAAAGTTTATAGTATTTATAGACTATCTTTAGCTTAAATATATTATATATATATTCTTAACTATTTTATTAAATAGTAACTAACTACTCTATAGATCTGTATATAATAGCTAAGCTAATTTAAGTAGCTTTAATATTTTATTTAGCTAAGATATAAATACCTAATATAGCTTAGTACTATACTTAAGATAGCGTATTACGCTTAGAACCTCTTACTTACCTTTAGACCTATATAGTAACTTACGCTTCTAATATTATATAGCTAATTAATAATACTACTTCTTCTTTACTACTACTATTAATACTACTATTATAGATATTATAGAAAGTATAGAGTCTATACAGCGCTAGCTAGAAAGCTAGCTACTAGAGAAAGAAGCTTTAGAGTCTACTTATCTATTACTAATATAGGCGTAATAGCTAAAATCTTATACACTAGTAGCTACTAGAATTACTTCTATTCTATACGTAGTGTTATTAGAGTAAATATTTAACTAGAAAGTATTATATCTAAAAGAAGTTATAAATAACACTAAGAGTAGTGTTCTAAGAGATAGAGTTTAGTATAAGAAATATTCTACTAGTAAGAAGTATAGTATTCTCTTTATATAAGACTTTACTATCTAAGAGTTAGAGAAATACTTTATTAATAGAAGAAAAATTATTCTAAATACTAAGAGATACTAGATCTAGTAAGAGAGAATCTAGACTAATAATAGCTATCTCTAACTTTAAATTTAGTATATTTTTATAGTATAAAAATACTATATAATATATTTATACCTAGATATGTCTATAGCTTTTAAGTTTATGTAGAATATATACTAACTTAGCTCTTTTACTATAGTAAGTAAAGCTATATTTATATACTACTATAGATTTAATATTCTAGATAGTTTTAAGTACTCTTATCTATATAACACTTAACTATATATAAATTCTAACTACTTATATACTAAAGATAAGATATCTAATAACTTATAATAGTAATGTTAAGAGCTTTAAAATTATAACCTTTTAATAGACTACTTAGAAAAGTAGTAATTCTATCTTTTTCTATATATCTATAGTTTCTATATTTACTATATAAGTAGTATTTTTTAAAAGATTTCTAGTAGTAATAAAATACTCTTAGAAGATTAGAAAGAGATTATACTTATTAAAGTATAAAAGTACTTTACTAAAAAGTATAGAGTATAAGTAAACTATATATTAGTATAGAAAGTGTACTATAGCTTACGTAGAGAGTCTAATAATATAGCTAGAAGTAATTATAAATAGAATTACTCTACTTTCTAGCTATACTAGAAAGTAGTATTTTAAATCTTCTTAAGATGTAAAGCTTATATAAGCTCTAGAGGTCTACGCTATCTATCTTTTATAGAGCTTCTATTAGCTATAGTTTTTACTTACGCTAAGATATACTTATATATATAAGTAATTATATTATATCTTACGCTATACGCGTAATATTTACTTCTATCTAAAGTATTACGCTACGCGCGCGCACGCGTATTACTTCTATCTAAAGTTTTAATATTTCTTACTAAGGCTTAGCTTCTAGCTATAATAGTAACCTAACGTAAGTATTATATAAACTTCTTTTATTAGAGAGTATATCTCTAATAGCTAGTAATATTACTTACTATATATATATAATTATAATTTATTAGTAAACTAATAATTCTATAGCCTATAAACTAGTTCTAAAAAAGTAAGGTTTATTACTAGTATACTAAAGAATATATAACTAAAAGTTTTAGCACTTTAGAGATAGATAAGCTAAAGCTTAGAGTCTTAGTAGTACTACTTTTAAAGTAGTTAAAGCTTTTAAATTTAGGCTAGCTATAAAGCTATTTTAATACTAAACTACTTTATAGAAAAATTTTAATACTAATTTCTAAGAAAATTATAATATAATTATATATACTTATTAGCTTATAACTAATAGAGTAATATATTTTAAAGTTTATAATTAGAATATATATTCTAAAATCTTAGTAAAAGTATACTTTTTCTATTTTATAAATTACTCTTAGAAATCTAAAGATATATTAATATAGTGTATAGGTATTAGAAAGTATAAAGATATATTACTATAATAATATAAAATAGTTAGTATAAGTAAGAAAGTATATAGATATTAATTTAGTAGAAAAGAGTTCTATTATAAAGAGATTCTATTATCTAAAGTAATATATAAGAGTTTAATACTAAAAAGTATAAGTAAAAAATAAAATAGTTTATAATAAGATAATCTTAAAAAGCTTTTATAAAAAGACGTTTTTCTTCTAAATAATTCTTAGATTATTATAGATTTTATTTTTATAAAAATACTTTATATACTAGTATAAATCTTCTTTTTCTTATAGTATAGTTTTATTATACTATCTAAACTATATTACTTACTTATAATATAAAAAAAAGATAAAGAAAATATATAAGAAAGAAAGTAAATAGTAAAATAAATATTTAAGTAGAGATATTAGTAATATACTATTATAGTATAAATAGTAGTTAGATTTTAGATAAAATAAAAAGCTTATCTAAAATCTATATACTAATAGTGTTACTAATATATCTAGTCTACTTTATATTCTATCTACTATAATATAGTTCTAATAAACTAGCTATAGAAGCTAATAGAGCTAGTATTAGTATCTTAAACTAAAAAGAAAGTAGTAGAACTAGTAGTAGTAATATTATTAGAGAGAATAAGAAGCTAGAAGATAATAATAGACTAGACGCTAGACTACTAGTATAAGCCTAAGAAGTTTTAAATAGAGAGAAAGAAGTAAGTATAGTATTAAAGTTAGTAGCGTTATAGAAGTAGTAATAAATATCTAGTTTTATATTAATTTTATTAATAAGATATTTAATAGTATCTCTTATACTATAATTATAATTCTAAATATACTACTCTCTTTTATAAGTAGAAGGTTTACTTTTATTAGTAAAGAAGAAAATATCTAGATATTTACTATTAGTACTTTTAGTAAAAGTAGCTTTCTTAAGCTTCTTAACTACTAGCTAAAGTATTTTATTAGAGCTAGAGATAATTAATAATTAAAGATAATTAAGTATATTATAATTATTCTACTATTTAAGAAAGTTAGAATAAAATCTCTAGCTATATACCTAAGAGCTAAGTAATTACGTATTTATAATTAGATAATTATAACTACTCTCTAACTTTAATATACTTTCTAGAGTAGTAAAAGTATTAATCTATTCTACTAAAATTAATTCTATTAAATCTACTATAATTAGTATACTTTAGTAAAGTCTAGGCTTAAGAATCTAGAGCGTAGTAGTAGGTTATAGCCTAACTAAGCGTTTAATTATACTTAACACTAATAGTAGTAAGCTTTTACTTATTTAAATAAAGTCTAATAGTTTAGAAATTAACTCTATTAGTTTAGAAATTACTTTATAATAGTCTAGAATATAGCTAATAGCTATAGAAATTTAGGTATCTAACTAGTAAAAGATAATTCTAATAGTAAGATCTAAGTTTCTAATCTCTTTTAGGTAAGATTTATAGTGTAATTAATAGCTTAATAAGCTACGCTAGCTATCTATATAAGTGCGTACTTAGACTAGAATTAGAGACTTTATAATAATAAGTTTTTTAATTCTTCTCTTTTTTACTATAATTATCTACTTTTATATTATTAAGATACTTAAGCTAATAAGCTAATAAGCTAATAAGCTATCTATCTAATTAACTTATTTACTTAAAATTCTTAGCTTTTAAGTCTTAGCGCTTTTAAGCTTTACGCTTAATTCTCTACTCTACTTAATATACTACTTTACTTACTTTTTTATTTTCTCTATTACTATAGTAAGTTCTTACTTTTATATCTAAATTAATAGCTAACTATTATAATTTAGTTTAATAACTTAACTTTTAACTTAAATAATAGCTATAAGTATTAGCGCTTTAGCTTCTACTATAATAGTATTTTACGCTCTAATTATAATACTCTTAGTAGTAGTAATTATAATATATAAGTAAGTACTTAGCGTAATAGCGCTTAGTGTAATAGTACTTTACTTAATAATACTTTATAGTTAAGCGCTTAATCTATCTACTTTAATTAACTCTAGGTATTTACTAATTATATTCTACTTCTTTCTTCTAGAATAATAGTAGCTAATAGTCTATTCTCTAGTAGCTTTACCTAAAGTAATTAAGCTCTTAATACTTAACTATTTTAAAGCTTTATAAATTCTAATAATTAACTAGATTAGAGCTTTATAGTATT